TGCTCTTAGTAATAAGGAAAATCTGGTGTCAACAGTCCAGCGCTGACTTAAAAAACTTTGTTATGTTTGGGGACATTTTAAACCCCTCTAGCATTTTTGTTCACGGTCAGAAAACAAAGAGCCTCAGTGCAGCTTTGGATACACTAGCTTGCCACCATCAGTGTGTGAGTGTGTGTTTAAAATTGTGAATAGCACATGCGTAAAGCGTAAATATTCTTTCTGTCATGATTTGTGGACATTAAGATCTAAAGAGAAGCGTCATCTCCTGGTCAGACCCTGTGATTCAAGTATGGAGTCAGAGTAAAAAAATATGCAAGAGGGGGTCACTCCAGTGGATGGAAGTTGGAGAGGATTTCGCTGGGAGTTGCAGGAAAGTGGGCTGCCATTCGGCTGGGGTTTGACTGGGAAGGGCCATTTTGAATGGCTGCTACTGTATATACAAGTAAAGGCAATTTACCATTTTTGGTGTTTGTTTCACAGACACAGGCATCTGCCTTGTCCCCAGTGCTAAGACTAAGAGAGCAGAGGGGAGACTTGCTTAGTTTCCCCACAGCTAATGTATGACATAAGCAAGGCTGCAGATAATTCTGCCCTGGATTACAAAGATAATGCAAATATAAGTTTTGACCTAGACATTTTTACTCTCTGAAACTACTACACTAAAATAATTACCAGATAACAATAAAGCTTGAATACAGCTTGATCACCTCATAATGCATGTACCTCAAATTGTCTTTTCATTAAATTGTGCTGTGGGCACAGTGGTTTCAGGCAATTTATAAACAATTAATGCACTATTTCATAAGTCAGAATTTAACAAAATTTTAAAGACATTAATGTAGTTAATTATTATTGTTTTGATTCAGATATGCATGACCTGTGCTGCCATCAAGGTTAGAAAAATAACAGGAAATTCTGGAAGACTTGGCTTTAATTTCTGTTTTAAGTTCAAAACATTCTTTTGGAGAAAAAAAAGGAAGCATAAGAGTTTAATTTTACATATTTTTCTATACAAAGGTGGGTGTTGTCATTAAAAGCCCTATTTGTGGCTGTGTGTTCATGGGCAAACATGGGAGAATGTGAAATGTTTGCAGATGTCAAAGGATACTTGAGCACAAGCTTGTTGGCCATGTCAGTGGAAGGGATGTACCAGGGATGCATCATGAGGAACATGCGGACCAAGGACGCATCCTTCAAAACACCTTTCTCATCTTTAAATAGAAATCAGGTTTAGTCAGAATACGTCTGCTTCTATAAATTAAACATTAATTCCTTTTTTAAATGAGGTTGAAAGACAAACCGAAGGCTTGGATGCATGCCTCCAACAGCTCGTCCACCGTGGCAGACTGCTCTGATAATGGACACTCCATGGTTCCCTCCTTCTATGAGTATACCTCGCCTCCCACAGTCTGGTTGGAATCTTGTGTAAACATAGAAACAGATGAAAAGAAATGATCAGAATGGGAGAGAAAGACTGAGTAAATGACAAGTTCGCAAACAGAAAACACTGTTACGTTAAAAGCTGACTCATATGCTCATCAAGGATGTTAATGTTTTAATGATTCTGGTTTCAAAAGGATTTAGTTATTTTCAATGAGTTTCCTGTTGATTCTGACTGGATGTCCATTCTGAAACCACTGCTGATATCTGTGGAGTGACATTCTGGTTGCACACCTAGATGTAGCTGATCATTTAAAAAGGAAGTTGAGGAATATGGATATAGTCAACCTTTTTCAATATACACTACCCCGAACTCCCCAAGTAGAAAAGTGTTAGATTGACCTGGTTTAAGTCAGGAAAAAAATCTTTAAGGACCCAGTTGCTTATTAATTGTTTAATTTAGAAAATAATCAACAATAAATCAAAAGTAGCAGCCATACTTTCTCTTAGTTATTTGGCCTGTCATCTGGCTTGCAAGTGTCTCCAGTGTAAATCCAGAATAGAATTTAGAGTCCTCCTTCTCATTTATAAAGCCCTAATTAACCAAGCTCTATCTCACTGTATATCAAATAGCTGATGGTTCCTTATGTTCCTAACAGAGCCAATTGCTCTCAATCTACAAGTTTACTAGTTGTTTCAAGAATTTCTTTCAGTTATCAGATACCTCTCCTGTAGATCCAACTTCCAGTTTTAGTCATTGAGGCAGAAACCCTTTCTAATCTCAAGACTAGGCCTAAAACTTTCCTTTTTGAAAAAGCTTATAGGTAGAATAGCTCAGGTACATTATCTCTATAACTTTGTTACTATAGGCTTAGGCTGCTGGAGGACATAGGGACCACTTTTTATTAATCTGCTTCATTCTATTTCTATTCTCCAATTCTGCAGTATTTGTCAGTTCAACCACTAACTCTGTTTTCTTTTTGATACGTACCTTTTGACATGAAAACGAACGTATAGCTCATCTGCTTATTTGTTTTGTTCCCAGACCGAGACACCTGTGGATCTAGTTTACTAGTATCCTATTCATAGAAAGTATTCATGGATCAGTGCTTTTTGTGTTCTTTGAACCAACAGTCAACCTTGACAGATGGTCGCTCACACTGAGCCTCGTTCTGCTGTGGGTTTCTTTTAGGTAAAGGGGAATTTTTCCTCTCTTTGCTGCAGTTCCTCCCACAAAACCAGAGATGGGAAATGTGGAGCCATCAAGTCATCTTTGTGTCATGTAGTTGTTCTGTCTAGCCACTGAACCAGGTGAGTCCAATCTGCACAGTGAATTAAATAGTGCAGATTGGAATCATCGGGTTCAGTGGTAGGGCAGAACAAATACATCACATGGAGATGACTTGATGGCTCCACATCTGGTATAACATCTCCTCCCATCATGCAGAAAAGATTTCCACAGATCAGGAAGTACATTTTGTTAGCTTGTCTGTGTGTTATATAAACCAATATGATGTGTTGAACTAGATGTGCTATTTTCACAACTTTTGTGGAACACGTTTTTATAAAGTAGTCCATTCGTTCGTAAAAAAGTTTGAGTTCTATAAATCAAAGGTTTATAGCCGACCGCAATGATGAACTGCACGGCAGCATTCTATACCCATCAATTGTAGTATCTAGGCATCTAGTATCTAGTCTGGTTGTTATTCGATATTGTAAAGGTTAACTTTTTTTTGCAATATAAAACTATGCTAAAACCTTTTAAAGTTTTAGTCGACTAAAACTATCACCTATTGTAACGAATAAAATGCGACTAAAACTAATATAACTTTTCGCCCTGAAGACTAAGACTAAATCTAAGATGGCTGTGAAAAACAACACTGCTTTTAGCCAGTCCTCCAAATGTTGTTCAACAAAACTAAGAACCTGAAACCAGCATGGTAATGGCATGAGTATACTGTAGAGAAGTCTTTCTTTCCAGCGTGACAACAATCTTAAACATTCTTCCAGGGCATAGTTGTAATGGTTTAGTTGATAGCAAATCTTGATGTAAACTGGGCCAGTCAAGTCCAGTTCTAACTCCAGTTTATATTCACAAATGATCTGTGCTTTCTGACTTAGGTTGAGCTTTGTTGCGTAAAGTTTTACTAAGATTCCAATTTGTTTATAATTTTTTCTCTAGATGTGCAAAATCTTTAGACATTCCTGAAAATACCTGAAGCCATAACTACAGCACAATATGTTTTACAAAGAACCGATTTATTGCTGAGCAGACGAGTCCCAGTTTTCAGACACACTCAAAAAATATTTCATCCAAATTTTAAGAATGATGTAAATTCATTACAAAAAATGTTCCTATTTACTTTTTACAGTTGATTTAACACAAACGTATTTAATCAGGCATTATTCATTATTTTGATATATATTATTTATTTAAAATACATAATTATCAGGTTTATGAATAATATTAATAACTATATTAATAAGTGTACTTATTAATATTGTTTAAATAATACTAATGATTCATTTGTTTTAAATACATAAAGTTTATTGTTTGAATTGCATACATTTCCTTTATGAGCACTAAAAGCATACACTTGATAATTATTTAGTTTTCTGAAATAATCTTTATTATACAAGTTAATATGCATCATGTAAGTTTTATTTATTGTGTTCTGTTCAAATTATATTACAGACATTAAATGGAAATTTTATTTCCAAAGCAATTTTAAATCCTTTGAAATTGTTAAATAAAGTACTTAATAAACTCTTCACTTCAAGGTCAGTTATTATTATCACATCAGGCCACATTGAATCCCAAAATTACCACCTTTTATTATGTTACCTTAAAAACAACAATATCCAACATTGAATAAACCCATATTCTAGTAAACCTTACTTGTTACTTATAGAGCAAAACTCCTACATCATCGCAAGGACTGTATCCTAGTTTTTTAAAGAACATAAAAAAATCATAATCCACAAGACGATGAAGGGTTCTGTCTTGTTACTTAGGTAAAACAAAATAACTAAACTTACACTTTTATAATAATAATAATAATACATTTTATTTGTATTGCACTTTACATTTAAAAAAATAAATATAAAAAAATATATAATATATTATAATATATAATAATATATTATATTCACCATTCTACCACAAGACTAGACATAATTGGTTTAACTGAGGATAAAAGCAATTCCCCACAGATGCAAAACATTAACAGCTCCATGTGATAGCTAATGTGCTGAAACACATATTTATATGCCAATGGCATTCTTGCCCCAATCCAATCACTTCTTGGCCATCCTGCTCAACATGTCACAGACTGAAGAGTCATTCTCTACCCCCTAAACATGTCTTCCACATTTCCAGGAGTGGAAAGAAGGTCCCTGACTGCCTGAGGGACTGAGGACAACCAAGCAGAAGCTTTCAGCAGCAGACAGCCAGTCGGGCAGCAGTGCATGAGATCCAGAGTACAGATGGAAACCTTCCTCCTTATAATGTATCTTTTCTCCAAAAGATAAAAATCAAATAAAATGCTGGCAACCACAGCCTACACAGACCTGAATGGCTAATGATCCAAGTCAGAAATTTTAATCAAGGGTTTAAGAGCTGGCATGCCTCTAAAAGTTAGAAGAACACAGCGGTATTCAGGACTGAACGCTAGCAACCCAAGACTGAGTTGAGGGCAACAAGGCCTTTAAAGGGGAACACCGTTTTTTTTACATTGGGCCCTTGATTTTACGTAATTACATCATGTTCTACTCACAAGTTTTGTGTTATTTGGAGCCGTTCTGAAGATATTCCGTCCAAGTAACGTCTTCCTATGGGCAATCAACTTAAAGGCACAAACTGAACTGTTCATAATGTATTCTTTATGGTACGCCAGCATTCATAACGTAGGCGAATCACTGTCCCCCAGACATCCGCGGTTATATTTTTTATATTTATTTTTTAACAACAAAGCGGCATGTGTATGACGTCATCTGCAAATGCGCACTGGAGTCGTGACAGGCAGCCCAGGCCACAGGCGGCTATGCTCTACCCCTTCTATTCATTCGGCGAGCTAATCTGAATCGTTCAATTCCATTTGGAGAGCGAGATCATCTGTGGTCGTAGCACTAGACATCTTTCAGGCCTGTAATTAAAACTAGCAGCAGTTCAGCGGACAGGAAGAATGAACGGTAGCCGGTGTGCGCAGATGACGTCATACACGCGCCGATTTGGTTTTAAAACACAGAAA